AAATAAATGAATCGAGGGGGCGTCTGCCTTTGGCTCAGGTCATGATCCCAGGGTCCTGGGATCAGCCCCGCATCGGGCTCCCTGCTCGGCGGGACGCCTGCTTCTCCCCCTCCCACTCCCCCTGCTGTGTTCCCTCTCTCGCTCTCTGTCAAAAAATAAATAAAATCTTTAAAAATAAAGAAACATTATTAAATAAATGAATCGAGGATGCTTCCAAAAAATAATGACTTGGGCAGCCAATGGAGCAAATGTGAAGAAAAACCTAACACAGAAAAAGCAGACTTAAAAGTAACATACACGTGGAAGAAAGGGGGCCTTAAATTTCATGTCCAAACTTGGCCATACCAACCCCCACCTCACCCCCCACTCGCGCCTGCCTCCCACGTCCAGCGACACCACAGGCAAAGTCCTTCACTGCTGGGTACCACGGACTGGATAAGCCAACCCTGTGGATTGAAGTGACGGTGTTCCAGCCCGTTTACCCAGCTAAGGAAGCGGGCTGGGGATCCCGAGTAGACACGTGAGAGCCCCACGCTCGGAAATCGGGGTTCTAGAAGCCTCGGTTCTGGAGCAACACGAGGCTAACGCGATGGGCCAGCTGAGTGGCTTCTGAGTCTCCTAAAACAGGACAAACCAGGTGGCAGAGAAACACGACACTCACATCATCTGACTGCATGGCGCCCGCGGTTCAGAATGCAAAGCCTGGCCAGATCTAGGGAGCAGCCATGCTTCTTCCGGAAAATCACTTCCGGAGAGCCTAGTCTCACCTATCGCGAGAGTTTTGATTTCTCGGGCTTGCGTAGTGCCCCTTGGCGGCGCAACTTCCGCGTTCACCGCCACGTCCGGTCCGTCACCGCCACCTCATACCGCGTATGTCTTGTTCCGGGGCTCCCTCTGGGACGGTAAACACGGGTAGCGGCCCCCTGCTACTCCGCGCAGGAGTTGGCCAAGGCCTGGGGCGCGGAGGTGGAGGTCGCTGGGCACGCCCTTGTCCAAAGCGCGGTCTATGACTGCCCTGAGGTTTGGCTGGCGCACGCCGGCGGCCGGCCTCCTCTGTCGCGGAGTGCGCTCAGGAAAGCGCGGTCCTCCTCCCGCCGGCCCGTAGCGCCTAGCGGTCGGAGCTGCATTACTTTTACTCCGCCGTCGCCGGGGCTGTGGAGCTCGAACTCGGTCCTTTTTCACCTGAGACCCGCGCTCCCGCACTCACTTCCCTCTCGCTTAACCTTGCACACACTGTTTGGTGTGACGCTGGGTCTTGACCTTTGAAATAAAAAAAAAGGGTAATATTAAAAACAAACAAACAAAAAAAAATTGGAGGATTAACAGTTTGTCCCCGTTTTTATTTTGACAGGAAAAAGAAAATGTTTAGTAGCTCATACCGTTTTAAAAAAAAAAGGCCAGATTAATACCAAAAGAGCAAAAAAAGGCATAATCTCAGAATAAGGATGGGCACTTACTTTGCATATCACATTATAAAATAATTATATCATAAGTAATGTATTTGCTACATACAGGTGAAAACTATGAATTGGAACCACCCTGTTGAAGGGGTGCTTGGGTGGTTCAGTCAGTTAAGCTGAGGCTTAACTGATGGATTCGACTCAAGTCATGATCTCGGGGTCCTGGAATCCAGTCCCTTCCCGGACTCCTTGCTCAGCGGGGATGTGGCTTGAGGATTCTCTCTTTCCCTCTCTCTCTGTCCCTCCCCTCCGCTGTCAATCTCCCTCTAAAAATAAGTAAATCTTAAACAAAACGACCTCTTGGAAACCATTAATTTGGCAGTGGTTTTTGGAGCGAAATTTAGGTTATAAAAACAAACTGCTACTTACTAAGTATCTTTAGGCAAGTTACCCTTTAGCAAACAATTCCATTTGAAAAAGGGGGGATATATGATGGCTGGTGGTATGTTAAATGCATAGTTTACATTGCTTCATAAGAAACAGTTTTGATTGTTCTCACTCATCTACTTGCTTTTCCTGGTTTAAAGACCTAGAGGGCAGTCATCACACATACAACGCCCTTTTATGTTAATAAAATCGAGTTTAAAAATAATATGGAAGAGGGATGCCTGGCTGGCTCAATAGCAGAATCTGCGACTCCTGATCTCCAGGTAGTGAGTTCAGCCCTCCCTTGGATGTAGAGATTACTTAAAAAATAAATCAGAAGATGAAGCTTCTTAAGAAATAATAATGTGGAAGAAATCAAAAGATAATACTCACTACGTGTACCACACCACACTCCCCAAATTAAGTAGAGGAAGTGATATATGTATATATCACTTTGTATATGTATATACATTTTCTATATATATACATTGTATGTATATACTACATTTCTTACCCAACTCATCAGTTGATAGACATTTACGTTCTTACCATATCTTTGGGTATTGTAAATGCTGCAATGAATGCGGGGGGTGCATACCATTAACCATTCAAAAACATGGGTTTGAATTGTATGGATCCACTTATATGTGAATTTTTTTTTTCATAAATAAAGTGCAGTACTGTAAATGTATTTTCCTTGGGATTTTTAACATTTTTTTTTTTCTAGCTTAGTTTATGGTAAGAATACAGTATATAATACATATACCAAATATGTATGGGGTTGGCATGCCCCTAACTCCCACATTGTTCAAGAGCCAACTGTATATATATATATATTATATATATATATATAATTTAGTTAGTTTTTCATTTTCTTCAGATAAATACCAAGAAGTGGAATTACTGGATCATATGGCAGTTCTATTTTTTAATTTTTTGATGAACCTCCATACTGTTTTCCGTAGTGGCTCCACCAGCTTGCATTCCCCCCACCAGCAGTGCACAGGGGGTCTTTTTTCCTCCAGATCCTAACCAACACTTGTTATTTTTTGTCTGATTCTGGCCTTTCTGACTGGTGTGAGGTGATATCTCATTGTGGTTTTGATTTTTATTTCCCCAGTGATTAGTGATGTTGAACATTTTTTCATGTTTCCAACATTTTTTTCATATTGGCCATCTGGATGTCTTCTTTGGAAAACTGTCTATTCAGGTCCTCTGCCCATTTTTTTAATTGGATTGTTTGTTTTTTTGGTGTTGAGTTGCATAAGTTCTTCATATATTTTAGATACTAACCCCTTACTTGATATATCATTTGCAAATATCTTTTGCATTCACTAGGTTGCCTTTTTGTTTTGTTGATGGTTTCCTTTGCTATGCAAAGCTTTTTATTTGGATATAGTCCCAATCCTTTATTTTCTGCTTTTGTTTCCCTTTCCTCGGGAGGCATCTCCATAAATATGTTGCTAAGGGCAATGTCCAAGAGATTGCTGCTTACCTTTTCTTTCAGGAGTTTTATGGTTTTGGATCTCATATTTTGGTCTTTACTCCATTTCAAATTTATTTTTGTGTATGATGTAAGAAACCGGTCCAGCTTCATTGTTTTGTATGTAGCTGACCAGTTTACCCAACACTATTTATTGAAACAACTGTCTTTGCCCCATGTTATATTCTTACCTCATTTGTCATAAATTAATTGACCATATAGGAGTGGGGCTTATTTCTGGGCTCTCTATCCTGTTCCATTGATCTCTGTGGCTATTTTAATGCTAGTACCATACTGATTTGATTAATATAGGCCTTATATCTTGAAATCTGGGATTGTGATACCTCCAGTTCTGTTCTTCCCAAGATTGCTTTGGCTACTCCAGGTCTTTTGTGGTTCCACATGAATTTTGGGGTGGGTGGATGTGTAGTAGTATATAATTGTATTAATCTGCATTTCTCTGATGACTGAAGAAGTTAAGCATCTTTTCACATACTTACTGGCCAAATTCTTCTTTGATTAAGTACTGTATAAGTCTTTGGTCCCTTCCTTCCCAGAGGAGATTTTTATTAGGATGCTTTTTCAATTCTTTCTTATCACATTGTAGGCATTCTTGGCTATATTCTGGATATGAATTCTTTCTTAAATCTATTGCAGGGCGCCTGGGTGGCTCAGTTGGTTAAGCGACTGCCTTCGGCTCAGGTCATGATCCCGGAGTCCCGGGATCGAGTCCCACATCAGGCTCCCTGCTCAGCAAAGGAGCCTCTCTCTCTCTCTCTCTCTCCCCCCTCTCATGTACTCTCTCTCTCTCTCTCTCATTCTCTCTCTCTCAAATAAATAAATAAATCTTTAAAAAAAAAATCTATTGCAAATATTTTCTACTCTGGATTGTTTTCCCTTCTAGCAATAGTGTCTTTGATGAACAGGATTTACTTTCAATGATATCCAATTTATCAATATTTTCCTTTGTGTTTGGTGTTCCTTGAAGTTGATACCATTATTATCATCAACTGGTTTTTACAGAGAAGTTAACTGAGGTGCTTGGCACTGGAACTCTCGGGGCCAGGACTACAGTGAGGCAGGCCTAGGGCAGCGATGACTCAGGTTCCTGCAAGTGTGCCCAGCATTTACATGGCTCAGTCAGTGTCTCCTCATATTTTGAGCCCTGGATGCCTCACTTGCCTCAACCTAGCTCTGGCCCTACCAAGGTCTTGAATTACCTCCCTACGTGTTATCACCTTCCTGCAGGCTAGAGCTAAATAATTCTACTTGGGTTCTCCGAATTTGGAATTCAGTAGCCTGAAGTAAGTTTCATTTTACTGGCAAACGATCATCCTGCTCAGTCTACCAAACACGGTACCTGATGAAAGGTACCCAGGTCTCTGCTCTGCTTACCATGTTCTGTTTTCCTGAATAGGTGACTGAATTTGCTTCAGTCCTAGCAGAGTTTGAGACGCAGAAAGTGTCCCACGACTTACTTAAGAAAATTTCAGGAGCTTCCCAGGAACTTTCAAGAAATGTGGGGGCTCGCGTGTGAGGGGAGGAGCAGATGCTCCCGGTAACCCCTGTGGACTGGATTCTAAGCCCGGCACCGGCGAAAACCTGGATCAAGGATCGCTGGGCCTGGGCGCGCGGAGAGTTATCCCCCCTTTCCCAAACCTCCTTTCCGAGTCTTCGCCCCAGCTCGGGCAGGGCGCAAACAAAGTGGAAAACCGCGGGGCTGCCGGCCGCGGAGCGAGCCTCCTACCCCGAGACAAGGTGAGTGGGAGGCACTGGGTCTTTTCAGGCTGGAGTGATACTTGGAAGGGACAGGGTCTTGATGCCCACAAATCAGAGGAGACTTCCTGGTGCACACGGAAGCTGGGAAGCAGCCCGCTGGATTCGCAGCCGCAGGACACCTCCTCTTTGTGTCCAGAAGGGAGTGTGTGTCAGAGAAAGACGGAGTTGTGCGCGGAAAAAGAAGCCAAGTCTGTTTTGGGAAACCTTGGGCAGCGCTTTCCAGAGACATCGCCTGAAATGTAAAACTATCAGGGGCCGGAAAAGCACAGGTGGGAGGCCGGTGACGCGCCTGAGCCCCCGCAGGAGCCCGGGGAAGGCAACTGGGGGGATTTCACGTCCCTCCCCTTTGCCACGATCTTCCCAGCCCCTCCAGTTCCAGAGCCTCACTCCGCCACGTTGTGTTGAGAATTGCATCCTTCTTCCCCACATCTTCTCTGAGAATCACTTGTTGCTGGAATTGTGTGCAGAAGTGGTAGGGATTCTGACTGCCCAGCTATAGCGGGCATTGCGTATTTCATGGAGAAAATGCCCCGGGGGGAGCCCCAAGACTGGCAGGCTTTCGTTATCCATATGCAGTACATTTCTTGGTATTTTTCACCCGATTAGCGCCCTCATTTTGTGTAAGATGTAGAAATAACATCGATGTGATTTTCATTTTCTGGGCATCTTTTAATGATTCTTGAATATGTAGCAAATGTCACGCAAAAGGACTGTTTTCCTTAACATCACAGCTCCCAACAGACTGCCCCCCTACTCGCTGCCACATCTCCCTAAAATGCGTGCGGTGACTTGGCTGGTTCATTTCTTTTGCGGAGTGCTTGCGCTCTGGCTGGGTGTATGGCAAGTTGGTCTTCAGGACCTCATTCTCCTTGTATGCCCTTCCTTCCCTCCACATGAGACAACCCAGAAGCTCATGACCAATCTTGGGCTTGCTCGCGATGTCACACTGCAACTAGGGCATCGTTTCTGGTCCACCCTGCGGTCTCTCAAAGGGAGGGGGCTTTCAGGTGGGTCCCAGCTATTCGCATCGAAGAAACAACCCAGGTATGTGCACACTAAAGTGGCAGACCCACCAATCTAGAAGCACCCTCACCTCAATTTCACAACTTTCTCCTGCTGTCTGCAAGCCACACGCACTGTCCTAGCGTCAGAGGTTCATTAAGGTCAGCTCCATCTTTGATACTGCTGTAGTAACTTCCTTTGCGGGCTTCCTGCTAGATGGCAGTGTGTAACAGTGAATTAAATACACAGCATTAACTGTTACTGTTATTATGGCTCATCTTTTATTCTTAACTAAAAAAAACTGTTTATCCTACAAACAGTACATTAAAAAAATTAAAACTAGGGTTAGATTTTGAAAATAAAGAACAAGAACATAGTTTGGACAAACAATAATGTTATTCACAGATGTGTAAGTATTGCTCAGAGGCAGACATTTCCAACCCATGTTTAAATGCTTTCTAAATGTGGAATGTAAAGTGTTGATTTCGGTGGGAATGGAATACCTAATTCAATTACCAGCATTTCCCGATAAACATTATAGTGTTTCTGAACATGGGTTGTTAAACATTAAAAAATATATATGTCTGTCTTTATTTACAGTGTTTTTAAGGTATTTATTTCTTTGAGAATAAAATTTGAGTTTTCAAAAGTTAATGCTGAATTACTAAAAAGGAGAATGAAGAAAAAGTAACCCTAAACTTGTTATATAGAAATATTTCTTTATATTTACAGGACTCTTGGTTTATGATGACTCAGACTGTCTTAATGACTGTCTCTTGATCGGTCTTTCTTCCGTGGAGAGTTTTTGCTCCTGGACACTATTTGTGGGATCGGAGAGCTTCATTTTGGGATGAAACCCCAGGAGATCCCCTGGTCCAGCCCTTTGTCTTTGGGCATGTGAAGTGTTAGCCACACTGTGTTGGTGTTATTTAACCAGTGCCTCACTCATGATTACATAAATGACCAAAGCAGATGAGGGATTTCAATTCATAACTTTTGCCGGGTAGGAAGATTGTTACATCATAACCAATAAACTCTTCTTCGGGAAAGAACAGTTACTAAGAAGACCTTCCAAGGAGAAAGATTGAGAAAGTCTTGCTCTTTGGAAGCCAAGTTCTTGGTGTAATACAGAATCTTCACAATTTTGTGCCCTCACCTTTATTTAAAAAAACCTATTCCCTTTGAACACTTCTATTTGAGACTTCATATCAATCTTTTCTGTTTTTTGCTTCTTTTTTGGTCTGGAAATGTTTTAAGTTAGTTTCTTCATTAAGTAGCACCACTAAATGAAGTTATATTAATACTACATAATTTGAATGCTTCCGCATGTCCAGAATTTTAGTGTTAAGAATGACATCACCTTCGGTTCTACAATAGAGATGTGAAGGTCTCAGGCTGCAAATTCTCCCCCTGCTCCCCACCATTAATCACCAGACTGGCCTCACGTGACTGCCAGTATCCCTTCATCTCTCTTTATTTATCTGTCTTACCTGAAATGTGTGCTTGGTGGAAGAGGATCACCTTCCCAGATAGAAATCTGCAACCCTAAGCACTCTAGTAAAAATAAATGCTTAGCAAAATATGAAGTCTTTTTCAAAAGAGTGAGGAAAATGAACACCAATAAATGTCAATAAAGAAAATTGGGTGAAAGTGGAAATGAACCACCATGGCATGTTCACCATGTGCGCAAGGAACAGGCACAGGCACTAAGGAAGTTTTCTGCAAATTAAAGAGTATGTCAACTTTTTAATGTTTGGCAAGTGTTTTTATATGCATCCAATAAAGCAACTTTAGAAAGTTTCCTGAAATCTGCCAGCTTCCTGCATTCTTTCTACTGCTGTGATAGAAACAAGCACAATGATATGGACCTAGATCTCCCAACTTGGCATTGGGAGGGGTAAGGCTGGCCAAAGCAGGCGGCCCGGAGAGTCTAGGAGAACGGCTGGGCTAGTGAAGGAGGTGTGGATGTGCTAGGTAGGGACTAGAGCACAGAACAGGAAGCTACACTCCAGGAATAGCTGGAACAAAGGCGATGTGTGGCAGAAGCTGGAGAAGTAGGGCGGGGTAGAGGGAGTCTTGTTTTCGGAGCTAATGCATTTGATCTTAATCTTGAAATCTGTGGGAAACCATTGATGGATCGTAATCAGAGGAGAGAGATCCAGTTTACATCCCAGAAACAACTCTACAGCGAAGTGGAGAGTGCAAGGCGTCAGACTGGTAGGAACACCAGTTGTCAGGCTTTTGGAGAAACCAAATGGGAATGAAAGAGGAGTGTTGATGAGGACAAGTAGTTGAAGGGAGTGGTTGAAAAGCTCCTGGAGAGTCGTCCAAAGGCCCTTAGACCTTCTCACCAGCCTGCCATCATCTGTTTTTCTTAGGACAGTCCTGTTTAAGGAATATTGTGAGGATTTATACGTTATAAAATGAAAACATACTTTCGGAGAGTCAAACCTACTTGAGAAATTACACCTTAGTGGGTATAATTTAAGCTTGGTAATTAGATACATTCCTTTTAAAGACTCTCCCTGGTCTAACCTTAAGCTCTGTTTGGACAGTCGCTTATTAACTCAGTTGATCCACCAATGACTAGAGGAGAGATGATCAAAAGAGCCTTCCCAGAGTTCCCAGCCTCTGCCTCACCTCTTTTCCTTGCCATGGGGACAGGAAGGGAGACAGAGAGACACATAAAGTGTCAGCGTCAGAAAACCCCAAGTGTCTCCCAGGGTTACCTTCTCATTTTATACTCAGATGCAGGGCAGAAATCATCTTCTAAGTCCCATTTCTGAGACCCTTAACCTATACCTTGGACTGGCACTGTGAGGCTGAAATTTGAAGCTGGCATCCTCAGACTGCTAATTTGCTCTAAGATCCCTCCTCTGTCCATTTTAATTCAAAACAAAGTGGAGAAATTTGAAATTATTTTAGGGTGAAGGTATTGCTGGTTTTGATGGACTAGTGCTTGCAGGAATGTGAGCTAGTCACGCTCAGCTTCAGACCCCGCTCTGGGCAGCAGATGGCCAGCCCCAGGCAGTGCACACAAGCCGAAAAATGCATTTCAGAAGCTCAGCTCTAGGGTCAAGAGGGTTGGTTAGTGAGCGTCCGTTTCAGATGTTACCTACCATGGTTGTCTGAACAAGCACACATTGCTTCATCCAGGAATGGAGTGTTCTGGGACACCCTCTTGGTGGACTCTGAGATTCACCCTGTGGGCAGTGATGAAACAGAAGGGAGCTTTCCTCCTGGAGCTCCATTGCATGGCGCTTACTGACTTTCGCCATGCTCTCAGCAAGTTCATCTGTCCCACCAGTGGGGGCACTGGTGACTGGATGACAAGCTCCTGGGTGTAATTGATACCACATATTAGATTGATGTGCCCCAAGGTCTGGTGGATAGCTGCATGCTATAAATTGTAGTACCATCTACACTAACTGGCTCTGTTCTTTAGAATAGTGGTGGGCATTTAACCACAGCTCAGTCCCTGAGACCTCACTATACCTCTGGCTTTGTGGGTATAAGCTAAATTGAGATTCTTTGGATGAAAGGGAATTTGTAACCTTGAATCCCTCTGTCATAGTTCATACAGCCATGTCAAGACTTAACAAGGCCCTACCTAGGACAGACCCTAGGACAGCATTGTGGTAGCTGTAAAAATACCCCGAACTCTATCTTCCCATCTCATCCTATCTTTTGTTTTCCTTTATGACTCACCCTCTTTGACTCCTAACAAGTGGTCACTATTTTCTCCATCTCTTTCCTTTCCCATGAGCCTGAAGACAGGTGACCTGATTTCTAGACCCACTTCAACCTATAGAAACTATGATCTTGGGCAAATCACTTAAACTCGCTGAGGCTCGGTTTCCTTATTTGTGGGAACTGAGAATAAAACCTACCTTGCTTACTTTACAAAGTGGTTATCAATAAGATTGAGGGGAGTGATAGATGTGAAAATCTTCTGAAGATGATAGAGTTTTATACCCACTTAAGGTGGTAATAATTCATTACCTAATCTGGGTTACATTAATTCTAGCTAAAATAAATAGCCTTTGCATATAAAACAGAAATTGGACCATCTTCCTGTAATGCAAGGGAAAGAAATAATGACAGTGAACGTCTATTCTTTGCTGTGATGAAACCGAAGCTTAGAAAGATTTAGTAACTTGTCCACATTTATATTATGTGTAAATGACAGAGCCGGGATTGAAAACCCTAAGTGCTAGCTCCACGTGTTAGGTAGTTCATAGCTACTAGCATCAACTGAGTAGAAGGGAAGACAATTTTCAGGTTCTTACAGATTTTTGTTACTTTTTTCTCTGGTATACCAGCTGACCGAGAGCGATTCTATACAGGTTTTTTTTCTCTGATGAAGGCAAATAATCTGTGTTAGTATTATTGGGTGGGAATTTTATAGTCTTAGTGTTAAAAAATATAAAAGAATGCATGAACCTCAGAGTCTAACTAGTTTCTGGTTGTAGTACTTATGAAGTTGTAGTGTTGGGTAAGTTAATTTACTTTTTTCAAATTGGGTTTTCTCATCCTTAAAAATGAGGACAGCAATTTTTCCTTCATAGAGTTGTGGGAGGATTGAATGATCTCATGCATGCTGAACACTTAGGAAGGGCCTCGCTTACAATAGGTCACTCGACAAATACTAGTGATCTCCTTTACTTTGGCAAAGTGAGTGTTTCTCCTTTTGAAGTTCCAGTGGATGGGGTGGCAACATACTTTATATGAATTCAGCTTCATTTTACACTTAAAAGTATAATAAAAATTATAATGAATATTTAAAAATAAGATAGCAAATAGTTATTGGACAGTTATGTACCACACTCTGAGTAAGTGTTTTAGTAATCTCATCTCATATACTTCTCAATAACTTTCTGATTAGGCACCCTTATTATCTACATTTTGGAAATCGAGATATTGAGAGGCTAGGTTTAAACCAGCTGGGGAGTTGAGATTTGAATCCTGGGGGGCTGACTCTAGAGCTGTTCTCTTAGTTACTGTGGATTGCAGGAGTTCCATGGAGAAAAGAGGAAAAACACAGTTGGTGATTTCTGAAACCAAGAGTTATTTTGTTGCTGAAGGACTTACCCTGGACTTAAAGTAAATCAAGGAAGATGCATGGGAGGGGAGTACACCTTTAAGGCTAATGTTTTTAACCAGAATTCTACATCATTTTTATATTTCTAATTATACCTTTAATGCTGTATCTGGGAGATGTACAATCAGATCTTAGAGCCAAATGTTTGGGGTACTATAAAGCAGCTTCAGGAATGTTGATCCTTGCTCTGTTCTGAAACTCCACAGGGTCATTTGACCGAGACATTTGACTGCGCAGAGCCCTGGGAATAAAAGGCATTCTTTGGAAATCTAGTTCATTTTTAAAACTTTTTGAAAAGATCGTACATTTCAGACAGATGGAAATCTTATTTCAGAACTTCCAGAGAATCGTATTGTTCACACAACCCACTGCTTTGTTACACTTGCCATAAAAGACTGAACAAATATATCAATAATCAGAATTCCTTATGTTGTGGTGGAAGTTGTTTTCCTTAGGGAAAGTTTGGGTCAGTTAATCATGATCTATTTTCAAACCAAGCCTGAACTTTTATTTATTTTCTCCTTAAATTTTACAGGAATGGGTGGATAATTTTGGGAATTTTTTTTTTTTTAGAGAGAGGGAGAGAACACGCACGGGGGAGGTAGACTCTGCGCTCAGTGTGGAGCCCAACACAGGGCTTGGTCTCACAACCATGAGATCGTGACCTGAGCCGAAACCAAGAGTCAGAAGCTTAACCAACCAAGCCACCCAGGTACCCCAATCATGGTAATTTCTATTCCACTTTTCTACCCCTTTGAAACCTAAGTAGAAGAAAATGACTACGTGTACGTGACTTGTGGAATTCAATCTTCTGATGGCAGAGAAAATTAAGTGGAAACAGAATTTTAGACTCAGGACCTAATTGTAGACCTGTCACAGTCCTCTAATGGGCTGTGTGACCTTGACCAAGTCACTTTACCTCTCTGATTTTGGTTTCCTTATCTAGGAGTGAGGTATCTCAGATCTCAAAGGTCCCTTTTAGTTTTAAAGTGTGAGGTTTCTATGTGATAACCCTGAAAGACTACATTTATTAAATCTTCTGCACTATGGCTAAAAAATTATTCGTTTGTTACAGAATTTTTTGATGCCTTCTGGTTTGAAGAATCTCCAGCTGCTCTGTTGATAGGTTAAGAAGACTGTATACTGTTCCCACTCGATGCCAAGCCAGGCCCCTGCAGAACCTGGGATCTCAGTCCTTCATGGAGACCAAGTCCCAGCAGGAATGACAGTGGAAGAAATTTGCACCCAGATGGTTCCTCCACGTGAAGTTGTCTTGGGCTGTGGGCCGACTCGAGAACACCTGGTAACCAGGCTAGCCCTCTGTCAGTCACCCAGGGCCGGGCAGCATGGTGTGGATTCAGAGGAGGAAGCTTTTGGCATCTTGCCTATGCGTCACAGCCTCCGTCTTTCTGCTTGTCACACTCCAGGTAGCAAGAATTTGGGTTGCTTAGTGTCGATTGCTGAGCCATTCCAGCCTTCCTGCCCTCAACCCACCCCTGTTCTCTCCAAGTACTTTTTGCTTAATCTCTCAGGATCGGGGGGGTTTTCTATCTAAGGCAGGGGAAATACTTTTTTTGTCAATAGATAAAACTGAGGTTTAGTGAGTGGGTATGTCAGGTAGAGACAAAATCAGTGAGTAGGGGGTCAATTTGTGACTCTTGTAGGGTCCTGGTTCTAGAAGAAGAGAAAGTAGAGCTCAGTCTGTCTTACTGGGTCAAATGTAGATGGATTTCTCAAAGCCCCCTATCACAATGACTTCTGAAAGATGGCATTCTTGAAGAAGCCGTGTGTATTCTAAGAATAAGCTCATCCATTCTGTGGAACACAAGAATCTGCATTAATACATTTGTCATTCTTTTTTTTTTTTTTAAGATTTTCTTTATTTATTTGACAGAGAGAGAGAGATCACAAGTAGGTAGACAGGCAGAGGGAGAGGGAGAAGCAGACTTCCCCCTGAGCAGGGAGCCCGATGTGGGACTCGATCTCAGGATCCTGGGATCATGACCTGAGCCAAAGGCGGAGGCTTAACCGACTGAGCCACCCAGGCGTCCCTGAATGTGGGTGTTTGAACTGCAGCATTTTTTAGTCTTCCCATCTATTTCATTTTGTCGGTGATTCTGAAGTTCATTACTGATTTCAAATTAAAGTAAAAATGACACAGCAATAGAAAAAGTATGGATATGAATTCAGATATAGTTTGGACCCATTCAAGCACCAGCTGTCCATTTGGAAATCCAAAAGACTTCTAAAGATTATTTGTGGATGTGAGCAGTTCAGGTGTGGGGCTGATGGAAACAGAGGTATTCTCTGGGCTTTTTCCTCTTGATCAAGATTGAATGACATAATGCATATAAAAGCACTTTGGCAGACAGGCTGGCGCTGGACTTCTGCCACCTTCTGCTGCCAGATCAGGATTCTGGTTGGAGGAAATACTTGACTCCCTCTTCGTCTGACTTGTGGGTGTCCAGGCTTGTGCAGGAGGGGCTGGAGTTCTCTACTCTCTGTGGGAAGTTACCAGAGCTTTGATCTTACCAATTACTTTGGCACTTTTTTCAGTTATGAGGAATGGCTGTGTCGAAGCTAAGAGCTTTCTTTTTTTTTCTAAGATTTTTTTAAATTTATTTGAGAGAGCTAGAGAGAGGACGAGCAGGGGGGAGGAGCAGAGGGAGAGGGAGAAGCAGGCTCCCCGCTGAGCAGGGAGCCCAACACGGGACTCGATTCCAGGACCCTGGGATCATGACCTGAGCCGAAGGCAGACGCTTAACCGACTAAACCACACAGGCATCCCTAAGAGTTTTTCTTTTGATGTCAGAAGACATTGTCATGTTTTTGGTATGCATGTCATTTCTGAGCTTCCATCACTTGTGGGGAACCACTGTCCATCCGCCCTGCCCTCTAGACTCCTATTACTGATGGCCTAGCTATCCAGTGACCCAGTGCATCCTAAAAGAAAGAAAGAAACGTGGTTTTACATGGAAGGGAGCCCAGTACTCATGGTAGACTTCACTTGATGCCGCAGTAGAAATTATTAGAAATGGAAGACTTGTGTTATGACTCTTTTAACTGTAATAAAAAGAAACCAGCTGGTGATTTATAATGAATTCTCCCTAGAATACAGTCTCGAGTAAGAGCCAGATAATAGCCCTGACTCTCACGGGTTTCATAAAGAGACAGAACTATTTCCAGATACTCTATATGCTGCTGAAATGCAGAAATGTAGCTGGCATGTGTTTAGTAGAATTAAGCATGCTTGTTGATAGATATTTTGTCAGCACCCTAATCTTTGGAACTTGTGGGTATGTAAATTCACGTGGCAGAAGGGCCCTTGCAGATGGGATTAAGGTGAGACACTTCGAGATGTGGAGATTATCCAGAATTATCAGTGTGAGCCCAGTGTCATGACATGAGTCCTTAGAAGATAAGACTCTTCCGTGGCTGTGGTCAGACAGAGATGTGACAACGGAATAAGCATCAGAGAGAGGCAACATTGCTGGCTTTGCCAATGGAGAAAGGGTGGCGAGCCAAGCGGTGGGTGTCTCTAAAAGATAGGAAAGGAAGAAAATGGATTCTCTAGAGCTTCCAGAGAAGAATGTAGCCCTGCTGACGCCTTGCTTTTAGCCTAGTGAGACTCAGGTCAGACTTCTCACCTCCAGAACTATGCAGTAATAAATGTGTTGGTTACTTTTTTCTTCTTTTTTTTCTTTTAATTTATTTACATTTTAGGGAGACAATGGGGGGAGGGGCAGAGGGAGAGAGAATCTCAAGCAGACTCCTCACTGAGTGTGGGGCCCGATGCAGGGCTCGATCCCAAGACCCAGAGATCAGGACCCTGAGATCATGATCTGAGTGGAAATCAAGAGTTGAATGCTCAACCAAGTGAGCCACCCAAGCACCCCAATAAATGTGTTGTTTTCAGTTGCTGAGTTTGTGGTGATTTGTTCTAGCTGCAATAGAAAACTAAAACGAGGCTTTATCATCAAGATGAATGGGAGACGTGCAAGAGGCAATGAAACCATCTGACTCTGTAATACTTGTCTTCTCTTTCAGGTAGTGGTTGAACTGGGAAACTTTGAAAGGAAGAAGTTCAAAAATTCCAATTTGCGAGATGGACAGGCAAAGATGGAAGAGGAGCCTGTGCATCTCTATCCACTCCCTGGGAAAGAAGCACTGACCTTGGATAGGAAAACCCAACTGGAAACTGATAGCTACCCCATCATGCTCTGGTGGTCCCCACTGACTGGGGAGACTGGAAGACTTGGCCAGTGCGGGGCAGATGCGTGTTTCTTCACCATCAACCGGACCTTCCTACAACATCCCATGACCAAAGCATTCCTCTTCTATGGTAAGTAGGGCATTTGCCTGTCTCCCGTGGCTTGCTGACATCCTGCTCCAAAGCTGACTTACTGCTTACCTCCAGGGAAGAGAAGGTGGAGCTCCCCTTGGACATATGGGACATGCCTGATTTCCTTTGCATTTGTTCTGTGAGAGGCCTGAGCATTTAGCAGATACAGGAAATAAGCAGGCTTCACCAACATAAAGGTGGGTTGGCTGGCCCTTGGTAATTCTGGAAGAGAAGGGGTATTTCCTCTCATCCTTTCACAATTGGACACTGTACTTACTGAATTTGGTATTTAGGGAATTGGGTATTGATTCTATTGCTGATATCAATTCAGAATGTCACCTGCGATAATAAGCCAGGAGATTTTGATGACCTTAACAAATGTTTAATTGGACATTAGCTAACACAGTGTTCTTTATTTCATTAGTCAAATTAATCAGCAAAAAAAATAAAAATATTGTTAAAAAAATAAAAATAAAAATATTGTTCAGCACGGGCTGAACAATATCGAGAGTAAGTTGGTATTTATCACTTCCTGAGGCTGATTATATGTCCTGCTGGGATTGAGGGCAGCCAAACCCAGCGAGGGGAATTAGCAAGCTGCCAGGGGTGGCAGGAAATACAGAGCTCCTAGGGGATGAGTGGAGGGGGCAAGAGTGTACAGATGAGCAGACTCGACCAAATATAGGCAAAGTTGATCAGTTAGGAAGTCAATGAAAGCAAATCTGCTTTAGAGTGGTGTGAATGTGTATCTGTATTTGTGTGTATGTGTGTGAAGAGAGAGAGAGCGGAGCGACAGAGAGGGAAACTTCCACACTCTTCCTTTAGAGATTGGGCTGGGGTCTCTGCCTGAAACCACCAAGAGGGTCTGGTCTCCCCTTGCTGTAGGCAAGAAGCAGCCATCACATCGCTGCTGCACCCCCTTGCCAAGTGTAGCTATTGATTTTTTTAAAAGATTTTATTTATTTATTTGACAGAGAGAGACACAGTGAGAGAGGGAACACAAGCAGGGGGAGTGGGAGAGGGAGAAGCAGGCTTCCTGCTGAGCGGGGAGCCCGATGTGGGGCTCGATGTGGGGCTCGATCCAGGACCCTGGGATCATGACCTGAGCCGAAGGCAGACGCTTAACGACTGAGCCACCCAGGCGCCCCATAGCTGTTGATTTTAATAGTGAGACATTTCTTTGAGAAATCTGATGCTACTCCAGGGCAAACAGGCTATGGGGGAAAAGTCATCTTAGTATATGACATGGCTCACTGAGACGACATAATGATGTCAACACTGATTACTAATCTATCTAAAATGATACAGCTTTTGGGGAAGGTTATGGGGGTGAGAAATTGAGTGGGGTGGGCAGGGGTGAGGGAGAGTTGAATATTCATCTTCTGTAGAAAGAATCCATATATACTGTCTAAAACTGAAAAGTCAAGAAGTAAAATCTAAGCATGTTATTTGGGAATACTGGAGGTCTATGTGCATGTATAACATGTTAAAAAGTTTTGTTTAGGGGCGCCTGGGTGGCTCAGTCATTTGGGCATCTGTCATGATTCCAGAGTTCCGGGATCAAGCCCCCGGTCAAGCTCCCTGCTCAGTGGAGAGTCTGCTTCTCCCTCTGCCCCTTTCCCCACTCGTGCTCTCTCTCTCTCGCTCACTCTCTCTCTCAAATAAATAAATAAAATCTTTTTTTTAAAAAAAAAGTTTTGTTTGAAAGGCTGCCACCGTGATATGACCACTTTGGATATTGGTCTGGCAATATCCAGTCAACATAAATTCATACCAGATCATCCCACTGCTAGGTATGAAGGCTCACGAAATCTCACACATGCACATGGATTGCTTATTGCATTGTTTGTCCTAAGTAAGGTTTTAAAAATCACCTAAATGTCCAACAAGAGAAAAATGGTCAAATGAAGTGTGATATATATAAATTCAGTGTGACACTACACAACAGTGGAAATGGATGTCCCGGAGCTCTGAGCATCCAACATCAATAGACCTTGGAAATCATGTAAGAGGAAAAGCAAGTTAGAGAGCTAAGACAGAAAGTTAACACATCCTGTCTCCCCGAGATTCCTGACCTGCTCCAGTCTCCAGTGCTTGCCCTTTTTGCTGGGTACACAGGTGCTGTCCTGGCTCCCCGTTGTTCTGGGGGTTCCCTATGCCTTACTCTTGTGTTGGCTCCCCGCTGCTTCTTCCTCTTCCTCCTCCTCCCCTTCCTCCTCCTCCCCTTCCTCCTCCTCCCCTTCCTCCTCCTCCCCTTCCTCCTCCTCCCCTTCCTCCTCC